TGATTTACAAATGTGCAAGTAAAGTTTCTTCTGGGCTGACCTCCAAACCTCCCTTAACCACCTTCAGCCACACCAAGGGATGAAGGTCAGTTCTGCTGCTGATCCGGGTGCATCAGGATACTGTTTCCAAACCAGCAAGCTGTAGTGTGATGCAGAATTACAACAGAGGTCCTGTTTCTGATCATTGCAGCCTTGCTGACTAGTGGGAAAGAGCTAGAAACTTCATTCTGCTGTGTCCTGATTGCCAGCAGAACAGTCCTCCATCACTCAGAGCAGCTCCCTGGAGTTTAAGGTGGGACAAGGGGCATTTACAATTGTAGCAATAGTTCCAGAATCATGAATACACAGTATAGCTGAATACAAAGCAGTTATGGATCCATAACTCTAAGTTATGAATCAGTAACGACAATACAAATGCCAAAAGATAAGCAGTTAAGACAGTACGATTTAATACATTACCCTCCAAAACGCCCTTTTCTCAAAAAACTTATGTTCTAAAAGCCTTCTGGAATGAAAAAGTCTTCACCTGAAACTGAGGAGGGTACTGTTCTAGATTCTCTAGGGAGATAGTTCCAGATCATAGGAGCAGCCACTGAGAAAGCCCTGTTTCATGTACAATTGTGAAGGTGGTGAGACTGAGGAGATTATTGCATAGTCAAATAAAGCATCCTTTCCCCAATGGGATAAGGCAGGGGTAGGCAACCTGTCCCCTTTAAGGGCCGAGGGACTTCAGCTCCCAGAATCCCAGGAGCTATTGGCCAACATGGGATTATTGGCCAACATGGCTGAGGCTTCTGGGAGCTGAAGTCCCTCGGCCCTTAAAGGGGAAAGGTTGCCTACCCCTGAGATAAGGTCATGTTATGGGTTGCAAATGGATGTTATTGCACGCTAAAATGCTGAATCTGTTATAGGGCAACTACAACCTGTCTCACATATACTGGCCGAATGGCTGTAATAAAATGATTTGATTTGGACCTGTCTCACAGCTGCACTTAGCCCACCAATTTTCAAGAATGGGAAGCTTCCGTACTTGAAAATTGGCCGGTACGGCACGGCACGGCATGGCACGGCTGAGAGGCGGATTGTAGTCACCCTGTGACAGAGTTGGCATTTTAGCATGTGATAACATCCATTGCAACTGTAACGTGACCTTATCCCATCAGGGAAAGGATGCTTTATTTAGCCATGTGATAATCTCCTGAAAGAAAAGCCTCTCCTGAGGATCTCAGGGTCTGAGCAGGTTCAGACAGGGAGATAAGGGGATCACAATCCTGTGCACAAAAAGAAGTCTCATAGAACTCAGTGGAGTATAGAGTAGTAAAACTACACTTTTTCTCTCTTCTTGTAATGGAATAACCTTAGTGCACAACATCAGTCCACTTTCATGACCATACGTTGCAGGGGTAGAAAAATTCCCAACATGATGGCCTATCATCACATGTTGAGTACTTATAGATGTTCAGGCAGACAGAAGAGGACAGATTGGCGTCTTGTTTTTAGTGGCCCAAGTCAAGAATTCCACAAAAGTTCATGCTGAGAAATAAAAATGCATTTTTTCCTCTTCCCTGATTGAAAAGAACGATTTATTATCTTCATTATTTTTTTAAACAGTATTGCCAGAGAGAAAGCTTTCAGTGTACAACAAGAGGATCATGCAAACTCTGCCAAGGACACTCCCCTTGGTCTCTGGCTATTCTTTTCCACCACAGTAAAAGGGCAACAACATTCAGGCAGGGAACCTAATGGCCCCAAGTCAGCCAGCACTTCAGTCACCTGCCTATCAATCAAATTGTGAAAGGCCAGGGGTTCAATTAATTGATGACACCTTGGAGGCCTCTCTTAGCAATTAACAAGTCAGTAAGAGGGGGTGGAAAAACAAGCACTCCTTTTTTCTTTTCCTGAGTGAAAACAAAACCACCCTTTTGTAGAGATGTGTTGAAATTTCCCCCTCCATCCTATTCTCTCTTCATCTCCATCTAGGGCTAACTTTTGTTTAACACTGATCCTCCTTGGAAGGCAAGGTCTTTTCATGGTATAAAATGTGACCTATTTCAACATTAGCCTCTCTTTGTGCCCTGTTGAAATGACTGCTGGGTGGGGGGAGTAGCAACTGTAGTTTTTAAAGATCTATTACAGTGAAAATGGTTAGTTTTTCCTCCAATGACCTTATATTAGTCTATCCTAATTGATGCTGTTCAGATGTGTTGTACTACAAGTCCCATCATTCCCAACCAGTCCAGCCCAGCAATAAAAAAAAATAGGCTGTGTTCAGCTTGTTAAACCACAAGTTAGCCAGGTCATAGTTAAAGAAAAGGCTTCATGCAAAAGATTTGAGGGAGACAGAAAAGAGTTGCTTGAGGAAGCAGAAGATTTTAGAGCAGCTGTTAAGCTAGATAAACTACATTTTAATAAGCAGGGGGCATTTCTGTATTGAATTTATAACCTGCCTTTTCCCCAGTATGGGATTCAGTGTGACTATCATGATTATAACTTACCACCCCACTTTGCCCCCCCATGCTGTTCTATATGAATCATTGGCTTTACAGTGAGGCACTGTGTGATGCCATTTACACCATATCCCTAGCCTTCATTTGTTCTGACTGCTGTTCTGCTTCTGATTGATTCCAGAACATCTCACAAGATCCAGACAGCTGTTTCATAGATTCAGGGTAATCTATTTCTATAGAAAGCCTTAGTATCTACAACAGGGGTAGGCAACCTTTTTACAACCTGGGCCGGTCCCCCGAAGCCCAGGTCTCTGCTGGGCCATGGGGGGGGGGGAATGGCAGCGTGCGCACTCACCCTCCGCCACTGCACACAACCCCCCCGCGCACGCCGCCACCACCGCCACCGCCGCCGCTGCTGCCGCTGCGCATGTCACGTCCACCATTTTGAAAATCAAAATGGCGACCACGACGCGTTTGTGCATGCGCAGGCAGCGGCATGCGGCAGCGGTGACGGTGGCAGGGATTGGCCTGGGCTAAGTCCGGCGACCTGGGCCTTAACCGGCCCGGGAGCCATAGGTTGCCGGTCCCTGATCTACAAGTTACAGTAGCCTCAGTTTTTCTTCCTAAAATAACAATGTTAAGAATCTGAAATTGTTATTGTGTGCACAACTTGTGCTTCAAATTGTTTTTGACTTATGAATCTATGATGGGGTTTTCTTGACAAGATTTGTTCAGAAGGGGGTTGCCTTTTCCCTTTCTCTGAGGCTAAAAGAGTGTGACTTGCCCAAAGCCACCCAGTGAGTTTCCATGGCAGAGCAGGGATTCGAACCCTGGTCTCCAGAGTTGTTGTCTAATGCTCAAATCACTACATCATTCTGGCTCTCAGTATCAGTGGACACTGGACTGTAATACGTATGTGAAAAGCACAGAAATAATTTATCATCTCCTGAACAACCCTTATAAAAGGACCCAATGCCATTTAATGATGTATTTATGGATTCAACCACTAGCAGAAAGGTGCTTGATAGAAGAATATTAAGGGTTAAGTCCAATTGCTAGTTCCCATTAAACTAAACCCACTGAATCAATGGGATTCCCATAAGTGTTGACTTACCATTCAGCAACTGATTTGATATGGATCTAATTTATCTGGGAGTACCAATAGGATTCAGGCCTAAATAAATGTCAAATGATTTTTTTAAAACATCTTTTTCATGTTCAGTTTTGTGTGTGTGTCCGTGTGTGTTTTGGGGAGGTGTCTTTTGGCATTGGTAGTTGGTAGTATATAACTTATCTAAATGTTAGTCATTTCAAACCCAGACCACAATAATCTAATTAAAGACAAGCCTTTTCTTATCAACAACTTGATTTCAAGCTGACTGCTGAGCTATCTGGGTGACAGTTGTCTAAATTCATCATTACTGGAATCCTGTTTCTGACATGAAGAACAATTATGTCAAAAGAGAAACTCATATATCTAGGCATGTGACATGGAAGTATTTGTGAGTTATCAAATCAGACTCTGAAAGAAAACAGCAGTGAGTTGTAGCAAATAACATAATAAAAGAAATAGTGTTATAATAAGATTATAATAACGTTGGTGTAGTGCAAAGGAGAGCAAAGTATGGAAAAGCATATTGAGCTAAGACCTTGACCAGGTATGCATGGGCCAGAATACTCTGGGAGCAGCCCGGAGTATTCTGGCCCTGGAGCTTCCTCAATGACTTCCTGTTACCTAAAGTCCTCTGGTTTCAATGCTGCTGCTGCTGTCATGACAGCAAGTCACTTTGTGGTTAGAATGAGGTGCCCAGTTTTGATCACATGGCTGTGTGTCGTGTTCTTGCCTCAGAATGAGTGACTTGTATTTTGGGTGGCAGTGTCAGTTGGCACAGTGGGATGCATTATAAACAGCCATCTGGCATCACAATGGTGGGCTCTAAATCTTCCCAGAAGATCCAGAGGAAAGGGTGAGTTTTTAAAATACATTTTAAAGGGGGTATATGGTGGGCTTGGTGCTGAATTGGCCAGATGTCACCCAGACATTTCACACCAGGACTGGGGACTGGGCCCTGTGTCATCCAAACTCATCTCCGTGGGAATTACACTTTATTTGGCTCATGCAACAGGGCCTCAGAAGCCTAAGGCTAATCCCTGGAGAAGTTGATTCACTGGAAAAGTTGTAGAGATCTATCCAGGATAGGAACATGGGACTGGAATTCAAAACCCTGCACAGCCATGTAGTGTTCTGGAGCTAGTCACAATCTCTCAATCTACTCTAACCAGAAATAGTATCTAGCTTACCCTAAAGTGTTATGTGTTGGGAAATGTGTGAGAGACTAGTGGATCTCTCCAGCAGTGTAATCAAATGGCAAGAGAGAAGCTGAACAACCCAATGCCCACTCATACTCCAGTGGTCTTAGTAGAGAAAAGAAAGAAGCTTAGCCTTCATTGTAAAACATAAAAGTAGCTTTACTTACCTGTCCATAGTCAAATGGTCCATTGGGGAAGTGAACTGGAAGAATGAGATGGCGGCAGGTTAGGAAGATGCTGGAAGAGAGGGGGTGCATTAAAAGCTGACACACTGGATGTCACCATAATGCAAACTAGCAATTAGTGAGTATAGGCATACAAAGGTTGCTCACTCAACGTTATGAAGGAAATATGGATTTGGAAGTGACTTGAGGTCATCTGAGTATTTTGAATTCAGTAGAATGGAATTCACAATTATTGCTCGATTGCCGCTTGTGTTTCATATTTCACACTTAAAGAAGACTGTAAAGAAGAAATCTAGAAAATAATTTTATTTGGCTACAGAAGCAGAATTCTTTTCAAGCAAACTAAGGAGGATTCGAAGAAGATGTTCACATGGAGACCCAAAGAGGCAAGCTGTCAACATCTATTTTTGCATGGTATATGTACTGTGACTGTTAATGCTACCCAGAGGACAGCAAAGGGGGTTCGTGTACTTCATTGGGGTCACAAGCTGTTACGCTGACACTAAAGGTTTAGGAGGATATGGGTATAACATAAATATATCAAGATGCATTTGGGATTTGTGGAGTGCTTCAAGAATCAAAAGCATTTTAATGGACAAGACCACTAATTTTTTCCATGTAGCTCTTACAAATTTCTGGAAACTGTGCATAGACCATAGGGGTCAGAAATGTAAAAGGGTATGCAATAATATTTCCATAGAGCTATATGTGGCACTGAGGTACCATTTGGATTTTTTGACTGAAATGGAAACAAGGATATAGGACATACTGTGAGGGCATATGCCACAAAGGAGACTTTTATTCCCTCAATTTCACGAGGGGCTACAGAGTTTTATGAGGCAGAGGATTGCCGAAATTTGCTCTAGCACCAGATGTGGTACTTTGCTTCTGATTCAGAATGAAACATTGGACAAGATCCAAAGGGATTGCTTTCTCAGCTTTTCAATGCATAAACCTTTTCCATTAAGAAACCCATATGACTTACATACAGATGTTTTCAAAGGTTTTAAAAAAATGTTTGTAATAAAAAGGACTCATGCCTAAATAACCTAGTTAATTCTATCTTGCAAAAATTCACATGGATAGGCAAAGGGTGGCTCTCCTGATAAACAGAGCTGGGACTGGTGAGGTCAAGTGACATTCCAGAAAGATCAGAGATGGGTACTTTCTATACTGAACAGAATGGCCCTACTTAGACGATGGGGCATTTGGGAATGAAGTCAAGGGCTGTAAAACAGAATGAAAAGTTAGGATTATATTGGTGGCAACAAGGAAGGGATAACCACAGACTGTTATAGAATAGATTAGCTTCAGGGTTGCTTCAGGTTGAAAATTATACAGGGAAGAAGGGGGCAATGCTATTGAGGCTTATAGGTCATCTGACAGAGTGGTTTGGGAGTCCCTAATATTAAATTGTATTATGAGACCTGTTATTTTACATCAGGGGTAGGCAATCTTTTTGAGCCAGAGGCCAGGTTGCTGTCCCTCAGACAATTGAGGGGCCAAAGCACCAAAAATAAATAAATAAATAAATATTAAAATAAAAAAATACAATTTTAAAAAATATGCATGCACACTCTCTCAGCCCCAGAAAAGCCATGGCAAAACCCCTGTGGAGATTTTGCCAAGAAAACCCCAAGAACAAGTAATAACAACAATAATCAATATCATCATGGCGGGCGGCGGTGGCGGCGGTGGCAGGACTGGCCTGGGGCCGGTCCAAAGGCCTTGGGGAGCGGCATCCGGCCCCCAGGCCTTAGGTTGCCTACCCCTGTTTTACATGGTTGAACAAATGGATAGTGCCTTGAGATGTGAGACTCTTGGAACTTGAAGGCCGTAATTTAAGATTTGATTGGTATAGTTAGTTTTGGTATGATAAAGTTAAGGCACATACTAAATTTAAAACTCATTGTATTAGAAAGGCACTCCTATGAGTGGGACATAAGTATAAACAGAGATTCCCTCCCCCACCCCAGATAATATTAGCTAGCTCTCTACAGAAAGCCTTTTTTAAGGGGGAAAATGGGTTAAAAATTGGACATGATTGCTCTATGATGATCTTTTATATTTTGAACAAGACAACTTGAAGTTTAAATCAAGAGACATGATGCTTCAGGAAAGCAAAGATCTGGTTTGCTTGCATGCAAGTTAAGGACAGATTTAATCCAGACAAGTGCAGCCATAGGGGTAAGAGAAAATGAGTTTTATTTAGAGTTATATAAAAAAAATGGCCAAAAAAATGTCCATGAAATTAAATAAGTGTATAAATATCTTCTAAAATTAGAGGCAGAAGATGAGCCTGTAAAAATGGGCCCATGGTAAGATGGGTCCAACATTTTGGGCATAATGTTCACATGGGTGTATGGGGGAAAATGTTGTCCAAAGATAAAATTTATTTTGTGTGGTAATTTAAAAGAAAATATGTATTAGATCATGCATACATGATATCTAACCCCAAATAAGCTCTCAAAAATTCCATAGAAAGTTTTAAGTCTATGTTTGGGATGTCAAAATAAGGAGAACCCCTTTTTTCACATGTGGTAGACTTGTAAGAAGATAAAAAGTTACTGGTCTAAGAATTATATGTTAATTCAAAAAATTCTAAAGGTCGATGTTTGTAATGTTACCAGAAATGTTTTTGTTGGGCATTATGGATTAATAACTGGACAAGTTTGGATTACTTTTTTAATATATGACAATAGCAGCAAGAATTTAGGGCCTAAGCAGACTGCCAGAAAT